CACAGCGCGCAGTGACACTTTGGTGCGTGAATCCCTTGAGGTTAATCACATAAGACAGCAACTTATCAAGATAAAGTTAGACACAAACAATGGACACCTTAAACTTGTGGTCACGAGCATTGAAAGCCACGGAGTTGCTCCGGTGCCCGTGGCGCACCTGCTCGTTGCGCACAGCGGCGCAAGAGGTGAGAACAAACTACTGATGAATGCAAAGCTTTGTCACGGCAAACTGTGACAGTCTGATTTCAATAAATCAATGAGACCAAAATTAATCTTTTAAGCTTTATATTCTCTACAGAATACCACCATCATAAAACTTAACATTACTTTCACGCTGCCACATACGCTCGAATTTACACCACAAACATTAGTTAAAGCCTCAAAATAGCGACTCCAACTATCACACAAAATATTGGGCGAACTGAGTGTCTTTCCCTCTCCACTCCGTCTCTCGGCTGTGTGGCATGAAACAGGACTGCGCATATGTTCTGTACGTGCAAACATCTCCAGGTAATCCTCCTTACCTTTAAAAACTTCCCCCCGGGCGGACAACAGCAGGGTCATTGCAGCAAACAAGCAATTGATAACTTTATCCATGTCGACAGCGCCGTCGTAGCGTTAACCCCCAGCCGCGGGGTTAACTGGCAACTCTTCTTTTCTTTATTGCAACTTGAATCCTGCCTACACTTTTAGGAGTGCTCAATCTAAAGTGTCTTCGCCCTGCCCTCCGTCCCTTGGCGTGCTGTCGGGAGTGTGAGAGAGGACACTGTCGCAGACACGGCTGCTGCTTGCCCGGCTTGCTCCACACTTGGAGGAGGAATGTGTGAGTGAGTCCTGATTCCTGAATTACGCGTGGATTGAGTGGTCCGGCAGCTCCAGGAGAACAGCGGCTGTGTGCGCGCTGTCTGACCGATAGAGGGCACGTGTGAGCCCCGCCTGTGAGTGAGAGGACAGGCGGAGGCGTCCCCACCTACTGCCTCCGACTGTGACTTTATTGGCGTTTATTTGGACTAGCTGTGGAGACTCAAGTTAGTTGAGGTAAATATTACAGTCAACCATGTGAGAACCTGTGGGCTGTCAACCCAGTCAGCCATCATTAATTTAAGGTGGTAATAAATAATTAATAGTCAGTGATATTGTGATAGATATTTTGAGATAAGGCCTACCATAAAGTCATCTCTATCAGTTCAAAGTCACTTATATTAGAATATATATGTGTAAAAATAATAATTTCTAAATTAGCAAATTGTTTAAATATGTTTTTTTCTTTTCTAATGACCTTATTGAAACCCAGTGTGTAGAAAAGTATTGACATGGTTACCCATTCCTTTGACCACAAACTGAGCTTGAACATTTGCTGAAGGTGACTAAAATACAGAAATGACCATAAAGCACTGCTGTTACACAAAATAAGGAAATATGTCATGTTATATAGGATATGCGTGAGCAAATATAAATTGCTTTTGTGTGCCAACAAGTAATTCAAAGGCAAAGAAATGTACAGTATGTTATCCTACAGGGACTTTACTTGTGTTTAAGGTCAATTAAACCCAAGTGGCCTAACTCCTTGTGAGTTATACAATTCCAATAAAAGAATGATGAGAAGTCATGAATTATCAAGGTGATTAAACAATATTAAGTATGTTTTTGGAGCTGTTAAAGAGGACTCAGGGTCTCAAGGACCCAAGCCAGCACCATATGGTTAAGACCTTGTGTTCACATTGTCGCTATCAGATTTATAATAAGTAATCCATGCATTTCAAAATAAAACTAACTATAAACCCATTAATCTCAATCTAGTGATGAAGATCGTGTGATATGGGAGAAATGGACCCTGCGGTGAGATTGTTCTTCAAATGCTGTTTCCAAGGTGAAAGTTTTACGTCAGCTTTTAAGCATCTACAATTCCAAATAGTTGAGCAAATTGCATCTGCTGATGAAGATCATGTGATGTGATGAGAATCCAGAACAGCTGGATCTCAAGGCAAAATAGTTTTCACAATATAAAATTAAAAATGTAAACTTTACCCTAATATGAAGAGGACTTCCTAATATACTACTAAATCTATGCTCCACTGGAAGGTGATTTTATTAACACACTAAATACGCTATAAAAGCATTTTTCATGCTCAACTTGACACCTTAATTTATTAACTTAATATTTCCTTTTTAAATCTTTGCCAGCTGGATTCTTAATCATCGTTCACCTTGTGTGTCCTTTCTGATCAAATTCACGCATTGATCGTAAAATGGGAAACCCAGGCTGACATTCAAGAGGACTCCATCAGTTGACCTGGCAAAATCAGACCGCATCATCACCAACCTTTTTTTTTTAATTCAGGTTTGATGAATCAGTAATAAAGCCTTACTTTAATATACGCAAATATTTGTTGAAAATTTGTCTTATCTGAGACGGCAAGTGCGAACAATAGCAGGATATTCTCACAGCAACATCAAACAGACTGATGGAGAAGCAACTAATGGCAAAGTCAACCAATGTCATTCCCTTATTGTTTTTGCATGCATAAACACACATGGCGCTTTCACTTGTACCAGCAGTTTCCCATGGCTAATTAAAATGCAGCCAGCTTGACATGGGTCTACATTTAGTCTCAAAATGACCTGGTGTTGTCAAGGATATATGGCTCCAGTTGTTGCTTTTCTACACAAGCACACCAAACAATGGCTGAAGCATTTCATAGAAGCGCCACGTCTTTTTGTGGTCTTTAGGTATTGTCTTGGCTGCAACAGTTGCCAGGAATGCATGAATACCAGTCTTAGCAAAGCTGTCATGGGAGCTGATGAGAATGTAAACTCCTCTGATTGGATGGAGGAGTGAATGGATAACATCATTGTTTGCACCCACGAATGCAGAGAGAGAGAGAGAGTGGTGATTGAGGGCTGTCAGTGGTTATCCCTAAACACAGTCCGAAGTCATGGTCATAAATTTACCCTAAAGATATCCTACTCCAGTGGTTCCTAACCTTTTTGTCTGATGTACACCTACAGCCCTATGGTACCTGTTCATTTGAATAGATTTGAAACTGGATTTATTATTACAGCATTTTTTTCATACAATTTAACTGTCAGTCTTTAGGTCAGTTTGGTTAAGTTTGCATGTGTAGTACTACCACTTGGATTGTCAGAAGCTGGTCATTTGCCATCTATTCAGTACTTTTATCTATTTCAAACATTTATCTGCTACTCCTACTAGCTTTTTAATCATTCTCCAGTATTTTTAGCCTACTTTTTCAACCATTATCAATTACTTTTAGCAATCTTTTGTCCACTACTTTTAGCTAACTATTTAGAATATTCTACTGCTTGCTAACTACCAATCCCAAACTCTCAGTCACATCATGTAGTGGTCAGACAGATGTTACAGCTGACTCAGAATGGGGATTTATGTTTTAAACAAATCATGATTACTATTTTGTCAAATTCATTGAGCTGCTGGAGTAGGCCCACACCTGTTTGGGAACCACTGTACTACTCCATCTGTGGTAATATCAAAAACAAGCCCGTCTACCAATACTGTATGTAGGCCTGCCGCTTTTTTTTTTTTTTACCTAGTAACCTTTCACACACTTACTTTCATTGCACATTCAAAGCTAGACACAGAAAGGCTGTGACATCCCACTGATTGGACGGGAGGAAATTGATGCCAGACCAGGATCAAAAGGTTCCGTATTTAGGCCTTAAAGGTTATGATATGGCCTACTGTTTCAGTGACTCACTGTTGCTGATTTCTGAACAACATCCGGCGCTATTGAATAGGTGATATTGACATTTCATGGCGGAGAGCTGCAACCAGCCAAAGAAGAACCTGTTGGCCTTTAGCAAATCTATTCTCCTTCATATTTGTCTCTGCAGGAGAAGTTTAAATCAGTTAAACACAAGAACGATGAGCTAAATAACACTTAATTGACGTAAGTGGCAGTATAATGCTGTTTGTCAATAAATGCCAATCACCTCACCCTATGTGAAGAGTCTCAGTGTGACTGAATAAATCACAGAACTTAAACTGCACTCCAAAGAAAGACTTATTAAGCCTCTCCTCGTGTGGCTGCCTGACAACAGTGATTTTGTCATTTTATTCCATTGTGATTATCCCGTGCCTTGATTGTCAAAAGCTCAATGCGAGATTGATTAGCTGTCCTTCATTATGGGAAGTCACTGGCTGCAAGTGATGCTAAACTGTTTTCTAAGCCTTGGCTCACAAATGCAAAATACCTTTTGAATGAAGGACACAGCCACCAATCTGTGCTCACTCACTTGTTATATCTTGCATAGTGTCTCAATCTGAAGCAAAGTTATCAGATCACACAGCAATTAAAGAGGATCAACAAATACTACAAAACCTTATAACTTACATTACAGTACTATTAAAATACTGCTTATTAAATTAATTAGTTTAAGTCTGTTATTTACTAAAGGAAAATATTTCTGTCTGAGTGACACAGGCAGACCAAGTCATTGTATATTGTATTACCACTAGAATAGTAACATCACCGCAGACTTATACACTGAATTCAGGTCATCTGACTCACATTAATACAATATCTTTATAGGTGCTTTGTTTGACAACATGTCCCATGATCACTATCTAGGACAAAGACTTATTCAGGAGGGGTTCATCCATCATGAATGTGTGTGTGTGGGTGTGTGTGAGTATTGCACTGAGCTAGACAGAGAGAGAGAGAGAGAGAGAGAGAGAGAGAGAGAGAGAGAGGGTGAGCGGAGAGCTCAGCATTCACTTAGACTAATGTAGTAACAGGTACAAACCAACAGAGGTCACTTTTCTGCCTTGTCTATAGCACCCTTCATCTTCACTGTGAGTGGTTAAAAATGTGTATGCCAAGTTGACACAAACTCTGTTCGATTTACAGGAGTGACCTGGTGGTGTACTTACAGAAATTAGGTTTATGCATACGTTTACCCAGGCATACTCATCACGTGATAAACCCTGCAAGGTGCTGCAGTGGATGTGACAATATGGAAAGTGTTCAGATAGATTTAATCAAACTCATGTCCAATCCAGTAAACATTCTTCCACTGTTGTGCTCTGCATCATAAAACAACATGAAACTTTTTGTTTTGTTTTGTTTTGAAATACAGTTTGAACAACACGACTTTATGCACCTGATCCCCATGACCTGAATGCGATAGAGAGCGTGGTGATCTCTAGCTGAACTTACTCCCGGTGAATCCCTCATTGCTACAGGCCAAATAAGATCAAATGATCGGCCCCAAAATGTAGACCTGTGAATTTTTGTGTGAGCTGAGCAACTTGTCCTGACCCCTTTACTGTGGATTAACAGATGGCACAGCAGTTACTTGTTTATTTGTAACCCAGCGTTTACATTAGCTACATAAAAAACAGAAACTGTTACTATTGACTTTTGAGTGAAAGTATCTTAATGTACACGCACACACACACACACACACACACACACACACACACACACACACACACACACACACACACTCTCACGTGGGCTTGAGGTAGTTATAGAGGGCACTGAGTCCTCCTTGAAGCACCTCCTGGATAGGCTTGAGGAGGGGGTTGTGAATAATATGAAGTCCTTTATCCAGCGGGTGGCAGGCTAACCTCCTGAGCCTGCTCAGTAGGTACATTTCCACTGGCACATTTTGCAAATCATTGAAGTCAACATTGAGGAGTTCTAAAGACTCCAGGAAGCACAGTGTCTTAGGCAGTGTGTGGATACTGTTTCCCTCCACGATGAGGATCTTTAGGTTAACTAAATCCTGGATCTGGTCCGCAATGGTCTCCAGACGGTTGCAAGCCAGGTGGAGAAAGACCAGGCCCTTCATGCTGTAGACACAGGTGGGGATGTGAGCGATGCGGTTGTGGCTAAGGTTGAGTTTGGTCAGATTGTGCATGGTTGCCAAGCTGCCGGGGAGGCCTGTGATCTGGTTGTTGGCCAGGCTGAGCACTTCCAGGCATGTGCAGGAGCCCAGCTCCTCAGGGACCTCGCTCAGGCGGTTCCGACAGGCAAATAGCACACGCAGCTTCTTAAGGAGGCCGATCTCGGGCGGGAGGCTGGACAGGTTGTTACCCCACAGGTTGAGGATCACTAGATTGTCCAGAGTGCCCAGGGCAGGGGGCAGGGAGCACAGGCAGTTCATGGACAAGTTTAGCTTCTGCAATTCTCTGAGCTCCCACAGTTCAGTGGGGGTCCCGTCGAGCCCCCGCATGGCCAGGCTGAGGGTGCTGTAGCCAAAGTGCACCGTGGTGTGTCTGCGGATCCTCTCAGCAGCTGAGGACAAGCTAGGCGGGTCGTCTCTCCCAGCACTCTTACTCCTTTGACTCACACTCACCTCATTCAACTCCTTGTTGGAGAAACTGCGAGAGTGCTTCCCACCCATCGTCCTCGCAGTGCTGTTGGTTCTGTCGCCTATAAGAAAATGTCAGCATTCGATTGGCTGAATCAACAACATAGAGAGGATTGCCAAGGATAATGGCAGCTGATTGATCTCCAGGGTTCTTGAACGAGCCACGCAGAACATGATCAAGTCTACAGTTTGTTGTAGAACTCCATATGTTTGGCAGCAGTTACACTCAACCCTGCCTTAGTCTTCCTCACTGAGTCAAGTTGCTGCTGTAACTGAGCACTACAGGGACTTGTGGTCTGCGTCTCCCAGACCAACTGTCTGTCTTACTGGATTTCATACCCCAGCTGGTCCTGTCACTTTGCAAGTCCACAGATAGCACCCAGCTCTCCACCCACTACAGGAGGGCAGGACTGGGGATACGATGCTGTGTGAGCTCAATCAGTTGAGGTCACTGCCATGATCTCATAGCCTAACACACAGAAATACATTGGTGCTCACAAGCGCTCTCCCATTTGGCACATAACCATGTTTATTTGTTAACTGCACCTGCTATCTTTAAGTATATCGTGTTTTGCATTTAAAATAATTCAGATATTTAACATACCATCTCTGGCAGAGCATAATCTCTTCTCACTTTAATTTCTCAACTTGCCTCTTTGTGTATGATATCATATCTCAACATAAATATGGCACCAAGTTGGCAGCCGTGAAAGCACTGGATCATCTCTCAAAAAAGAAACAGTTCTTAGAGGTATTAGCAGGACCTTATGCGCAGACATGTGCTGGTTTAATCTCAAGTGCAAAAGGACATGGAACATTCCAGTGCGTTCCTAGAAAACTCGACAGCTATTCAAAATGTCATTCATGTGGCACCAAGGAGAGAATCTCTTGTTATGTAAAAGCATTCACTGTAGAGCATTTACATTTTTGAATTTGTCTTTCCCCCCAGCAACATACACACTAAGTAAAACTAGATAAAATGTTCTTGATGCTTTTTTCTCTAGAGAGTTCTTTAAGGATCTCTATAGCATTCACTGAAAGCTTTATGATCCACTTACTTCAAAAAGGATTCAAACATATTTTTCCAGTGTTTACCCGAGTCTTGAATGGTTTATACTGTACTTCCTAATCAGTCCAGAGTTGTGGGGCGGTGGTGTTAACCCATCATGTATCTGTGGAGACGGAGCTTACTGTGTACAGGTCATCAATGAATCACTGGGCTATACAGACAAACCCATTCACCCCTACGGGTAATTTATAGATTTCATTTGAGGTACTTTACATGAGTATTTCCATTTGAGGTACTTGAAAGATATTATACATGAACAGCACGTAAAAAATGGAAAAATTAACTCCACAATGACCAACTAAAATAGTGAAATATTGCTTTATTAAGCATCAATAATAATAATCCAATAATATAATATACAACAATATAAAACTCGAGTGACTTTAGTGAGGTAATGTCAGCTCTTTTTGAAACCCAAATCACAAGTTTGTCCCCACAGCATGTGACACCCCCTACAGAGCACCAATGCAAATAATAAAAAATGCTTTAACAGGGAAGAAAACCATGAGAACCACCAGAAAGAGCAAAATAGGAGAGATTCCACTTGCATGATGGGCAGACATGCAATAGATGCAGAATGTACATAATGTACAGTACAGCATGTACTCTCAGCTGCTGTGCCAACCTGGTGCCAACCATCTCTCTCTCTCTCTCTCTCTCTCTCTCTCTCTATCTGTCTGTCTATCTATCCATTATAAGCAGTAAATCAACATATGATAAAATGTGTATAACAATTAATCTATTATAACTTACCCTAAGACATATTTAATATAATTTCAACTGGGTTATTTTCACACATTTTATATCACACTGTTTATATACCAGCATACAATTACTATTGCTTCACAAGAGGAGTTCAAGTTGTCATAGGGAAGATAAATAGCACTGACCTGTTTTCTAATAATTGTAAAACAACATATAAATAATTTTTTTCTCTCAAAATAAACATTTTCATTCATTTTTATTTTATGGCACCAGCCTTTATCCAAGAGGTGTCACTCAAATGATTAACATGATTTTTGTAACGGTAGGCGGTCGTGAACACATTATGTAAACATTAGGGGTGTAAATGGGACCTTGGACTTGCTCCACTTTCCTCTACAGCCTTACGGAGTCTGCCGAGGACTTAGTGGCCTTAGTCATCACTCTTCTCCCAGTCCAGTAATCAAAGTACTTGGATGACAGTTAGCAGTGATATCCAACTCTGGGGACTCGGTGGCTCTGCTCTGAGCATGGCCACATCAGCACTTATGAATGACAGGTTGAATCATGTGCTTGCTGAATTGGACACTGGAGAGAGGCCTGTTGGGGTGCATTGTCCATTCAGGCAGCTGCTTGTGCAGCATGTCTCATTTTTAGTAAATGTTAACACCTTCATATCACTGCAACTCTGTGTAGAAACTGGTGTGTGGCTGACTGGTACAAGACAAAGTCATGTGTATATGTGTGCCACGTTTGATTTCACAAACAGCAGGCTTTCTACATGCTGCCATCTTCTATTTACATGAAAAATGACACCTCAGCTGTAACCATTAGAGCACCCCCCCACCACCACCATCCCCAGAGAGGCTCATAACACATGCTGTCAAATATGCAGAAAGCCATTGGCTTCATATGTGCATCCCTCATTATGGGTTACCTGTAGCATTGCAATACCTGTAAAAAGCTCAGCTGGATGGACAGATGGAGTGAGGGGGTGGGATAGAAGCTAGATAGGTAGGTGGATGGATGGACAGAGCGCATAATGCTCATTTCTGCGACAGAGAGATGTCATCATGACATACCTCTCCGTAACACACTGTCGTCTTACACTTCATCATGATCTTGTGAGGCATGAATCTTCATTAAAAGGTCCTTTTTTTATCTCATGCATGAATATATGTGTGGAAACGGCTTTAAATTGAAATTACCGGAAGAAACCTTGATTTACCATTCCTCTTGCATTCACACAACACGGTAATACAGAGTCCCATTAGCACCAAATGAGGATGAGTTATTCACTCTGAGAACAGTTACACTCTAGCCCTCAGGGTGACAAAAATGATCTCATTTGAGAAAGCTCATCTGGTTATGTGGCACAATAATGACTCTGGATGAGCTACCTTTAGAGACTCAAGTTCAAGATATATACCATTATTACTTGTTCATTACTGTGGAGGCTTCTGGCAATGACAGATGATATATGGCCCTGCTGCCACAGAATCTGCCGTAGGTGTCTCTGCTGCTGAAATGTAAGGAGTACCTGCCAAGACCCAAGGCTCTTTAGAGTCTATATTCCAGACACATTACTCCCTGAAGCCAACACTCTTATTGAAGAATATGTTCCCTCTTTAGACAGAATACAAGACAAGATCAGGTCTAAGGGACAAGATATATGCATTTTGCAAGCCTATTGAGCATTCAAGACAAAATTAGCAGCATGAATTGGGAGAGAGCATGTGAGTGGGGGTGGATGGCGAGCCACCTGAGATGATAATCGTCTATTATTCAGCAGGTGCAGATGTGAATATTCACACCACTGGACAGTTTCCACTCTCCATTTGTGCCTGCGTACGCATACTCCCAGCTAATGGAGTCTGCGGAAGTGGCCGAACATTTTTTTTCAAAAATTGAGGCTGTATCACACGTTTGAGTTGCCATCTGGAAATTGGCTGCAACACTGCTCTTCCCAAACCTCCAGGTGACAAAGGATCTACTCAGCAATGCAAATTAGTGGGGAGGAAATTTGAGGGAGTGTCCAACAAGTCTGCTTGGAGGCTGAATACAGTACATTTCAATGTTTCAGATGTATATGTCATTTATTTACCAGACTGGGTACATCGAGGCTGCCCCTGGCTGGCTGTGCAAACTGTCACTATGGAAATGACTATATATCAAACTTTTAATGTATTCACACCTACTTTGAAGACAAATTTGTGCTAAAGCAGCACAAACACAAATAACCCTTCTACATCTTCTTGGAATATTTTTCACCTCCTTATCAACTCTAACTGAAGCACCTCCACTGAGTATCTTCTAATCTCCTAATCTCTCTCCCCAGGCCACACGCCCGGTATCTGTAGTTAAATCTGTGGTGAAGCAGCCAGATTCATCTTGCGATAAACTGGGACAACATGATGAATAGGTAATAAAGGCACCCAGGGGAGAGCACTATCCGGGTTAACACCACCGCATAAAGATACCATTTGTAATGATGGCTAAAATCAACGGGGAAATGCGGTGAGCAAAGCTAACTGGGCGACAAAGTGACCAAATCAGTCCAGACTTTGCTGATGCAGCAGATGAGGAGTACAAACCAATTGTGGCTGTGACAACAACGAGCTGGGTGATGAAGTACTGCTGAGCAGCCTATCTGGGTCTCACCTGCTCACCGCCACTGCTATAGACTACAGAGTGCTAAACAAAAACAGTCGTACAGTTAGCACAGCTGTAAAGTGATCATGATGAGAATAACTGTCAGTGCTTTGGGATATGGCAGTGAGGCAGATTGTTAGAGAGTTCAGGCTCTGACCTCATCACTCCCTCAAAGCTCAGCAGAGACCCAGGAGTGACAATAATGAACTTCAAGTCCAAAGCTGCTTCCAAAACAGAGTCTGATGCCAGCTAATATGTGAGGCATCGACTGTGTGTGGGCCAGGAACCAGCAACCATGTAGCTGTTCCCCTGCTAGGCACCTCAGACCACAAAGGAAATGTAGAATCAAATGAAGCTTCAGGCATTAGCCTCAACAAAGACCCTCCAACCATTACAGGGAATATTCTGTAATGTACAAGAAGCTGAGTTGGATAAATCTAACCCTCAAAACAACATCAAAACAATCAAATGCAATCAGAGACAATCACAACAAAAACAAAGCAAATTAAAATCTGGGTGAGAAAAATAATTCAGCATGAAAGTTTGTTCTTGACCTTGGAAATAGTAGTTTGACAATGAAATCAAATAAGATAAAGAAGAAACTCAGGCTTCACTTACTATCTTTTTGGTAACTTTCAACTCAAACTAATTTGTCTTTTTACAACAACATTGAGAACATTTGATGCTGGCAGAGTATCCCAGTAGCTGCTGACTCATTTGGATTTAAATCACTACTAGAGACCTCGTTTGGATAGAGTGGCAACAACTCAGGGGAGAAATCCTACACTCATAATACTCAAACACAAGTATTCATTTTTCACTACACTACCTTAAAATCTAACAGCGGGGAAGCGCCATGAGGTACATATCAAACAACA